CATACTGAAGTGTGAAGAGAGCTTTGTTGCGGGTGTCAGACTGGGGTGATTCAGATGCACACAGACATACACAGTGGACCTGCCCTGTCCAGATTTGTCTTTACAACAGGGATACAGCTTACATGGTGACAGCAGGTGACGCCCAGCAGTCCAACAGGTAAAGCAGCGCAAGGTCTGCCGAGTGGGCACTGGACCTGCTGCGAGACAGGCCTGCACCCTCCCTGAGTGCCAGCCAGGACTGCAGGTCCACAGTTGCCAGGTTGTGTCCTTGGTCAGAAGGAGCCAAGAGCCTAAATATTTACGGGGAAATGTCCTTACTTTACAATGTTGGCTCAAATTTTTTTTTAAAGCCTGTATAGGCCAAACAACATGTCTGAAAAATAAGTGGCAGACTTCAGTTCTGGCTTTACTATAATTTAAAAATTACTAACTCCAGCAAACAGATAACATGGCCAAACACTCTACGTAGGCCTTTAAAATTTGAGTTTAAAGTCTGCCTCCTTTGGATAAACATAAACCCAATAATCCTTATACACAGACCCTCGACTTGGTGAATGAAGATCCACAAACTTGCTATGCTACAGAGTATGTCACACTGCTCTAGACACATGCCTGAAACAGAGAGTTCCAAGTGCTGCAGACCCACGTGTGCCACTATATAAGGAACACATGGCAAGGGGCTAACACTAGCTAAAATGGACATCTTTCAGAACCCAAGGATGATTCTGGAGGTAAGAAGGAAGTCAGGCGCTGGCCGGGTGGCTCGGCTGGTTGGAGCGGTGTCCTGTACATCAAAAGGTGGGTTCGATTCCCAATCTCGGCGCGTACAGGAGGCAACCAATTGATGTTTCTCTCTTATGTGGATGTTTCTCTCTCTCTCTCAAATCAATAAAAAAGTGTTTCAACTACATGTAACATTCACCCTTCTATGGTGAGGACAAAAAAAATGCGAGTATATGTAGGATCACGGAGAAAAGCAACTATGTTAATTGTCCTATTCCAGAGAAGGTGCAGTTCCTGCCTAGCTTATGATAACACCCCAACCCTGCTGAGTAGGGTGGGTCAAGGTTAGTACTTGGATCTCTCTCTCCCCCTCTTAGACACAGTTAATGGGTCAGATGCCTACCCAGCACCGAAGGCCCATCTCTACACATTAGCCACCTCTGGGACGAGTGGTCTGGTGGTCTCCCCCAGGAATTTGAACGAATAAAAGGTATTTTTGTCCATCAGCAGGTAAAAGGGGGCCATGAGGTAGAGACAGGGCTACAGCAAGCCAAAGCCATGTGGAGGCAGACACTTGGCAGGCACAGAGGAAGCCAGTGGGCATCAGGAGGGTTACGTAGCAGCATTTACAGGGCACTTGACTACCCCCAGCTCTACATCCACTCCCTCCCTGCCTCAGTGACCCCCTTCCACGCAGGGAGCCTCAGGGACACTCAAGAAGCTGAATGGGTCTGTGTTCTTTGAAACCAATTGCCATTTCATAAGCAGAAAACTGCTGCTCTAACACCTCCGGTCTGCAAAACCAGTCGGACTAGGGCAGGGGTGGAGAACATTAGGCCCATAGATATGGCCAGCAAAATCATTTGGTCTGGCCCTGCCAAGGCAACCGTAGCAGGACTTGAAAGTCAATAAATCTAGGAGCTTTTTTCATAGCTAACTTTTAAGTTGATAATTTTGAATGGCCCGTGAATGATGTTATAAATATCCAAATGGACCCTGGAAGAAAAAAGGTTCCCCACCCCTGAACTAGGGCACTGAGTTTGAGAAGTGTTGCTCTGAAATGTCTCTCTGAAGCTGGACTAACTCTCTTTAGCCACAAAGGACGGCTTTCCAAAAAATCAACAAGAAAAGGAAAACCTGCATGGCAGACACTCATGCTGTTCATTTAGTTTTAATATGAGTCCCCAAAGCAGGTAAGAGGGCCACAGGATTCAGGGGCAGTGCTCTGGCTGAAAACTTACTTAGTCATTTCTAACCAACAGATGCTTCCTCGTGGCAATGCTGGGCCTTGCAACAGCTATTCACCTTTGACTTAGTATCATGACCTGCCCTGAGATAATTAACAGCTTACGGTCATGAAAGCTTTAGCAACAGGTTCAACTGGTCATTTTTCTTAGCAGTGAACATTTTGGGTCCTGGGCCCTAAGAAATACCACTTAAAAACTAAAAGGGAATGACTGCCTTTCCTGAGAGAACTCAAGAGAAAGATTTTTGAAAAAAGCATGATTAATATCAACAGACAGGTTCTACCCTGTGTCTGGGGCAAACATTATTAGGGGGAAATAAAAAGATGTGGTGTTGACTACAATTTGAGAATGTCTTAAAAGCAGTAATTGTTAATTCTTTACCCCACACAACTGTATCCTAAGAGCCATAAGCAGTGCTTTAAAAAGGGTAACTTGGCTCAAATGGACTTACTGAAATGTAAGACCGTTAAACAGTAACATTTGGATTTCCAAAACGCTCGTTTTGAGGAGTGAAGGGGAAAACACAAAATCTTTTAGCTTTGAAATAAGTCACAAGAAGGGAGAGGACACCCTAACACTGTGCTGTGAGCATGAGTGTAGGGCAGAATCTGCCATCTCCACTCTGCAACAAAGTGTTTCCCAGTTTTATCACAGAGGCCGTTTCTGACTTGAATATGGTCATAGTTTTGTGTTAGCCTGTGGTCCTCCATTCCTTGGCGTCCTGGGGCAGCACCCCAAGTTCCTGGGCCACCTGTGGATCCAAAAGCTCTGGTCTGGGCCACTGGGCACCCGCGTCCTCTGCTGAACAGCTGTCCCTCTGCTCTTTCCCCAACAACGAGCCTCCAGGATCTTGGTCCCAGGTCCCCTAGCTTGGGAGTGCCAACAATAATGGCCTGCCCTGTGAGTTCTAAGGTCACCCTGTGAGGGCTGGCATCTCTGTTATCTGGTGATAACGTCACTTGGGGTCCTTGGCTTTTCGGTCCGTTTCGGGTGCACGTCCCGCGCTCCAGCCCTGCCAGCTGACCGCGATACAAGAGGGGGGATGCGACACGGGGCTGCACATGAGCTTTAAGAACGGCGGTGCCAGTGATTCCGAAATTCAGGGCGACTCTGAGGGTTCACGTGGTTTCCTGCAAACGTTTCGTCTTTATTCTCAATACAAAGCAGGACGCCCAGACGGGCGCCTGCGGGGCCTCTGGGGCAAGGGCCGGGCCAGGATTCAAAACGAAGGCGGTGTCCAGGGGTCCCCCTGCTCTGGCGACACCGCCTGCCCTGGGGCCAGGGGACCCAGCCCCCCGCGGCCGCCGAGGGGGCGCTCGGCGTCGCCGGGCTGCCCCTCACCTGT